AAGTAAAGACTTTTGTCTTCAGATCTTCTGACTTGTTTCTTTATAACATGTTGTCTTCAGAAACATGAGTCTTTAGCATTTGGACTTAAGTAGAAATTTGTCTTCAGATCTTCTGACTGGTTTCTTTAGACTTTATATCAGAGCCTACACTTCAGATTCTTCTGAAGTGTCTTGCTATTGTTCATCAAAACTTGTGTAGCGCAAAAGCGAAATTAATTCTCTTCTAATATCTTGGACACGCCGTCTATTAGAAGCAGAACCTGTTTGTTAAATACTAAAAAATAACAAACGTTATAGCATCAAAAAATTTCATACAAACATACTCATTTGTTATCATCAAAACTCAGAGATGATATTGCAGAAACCAAATCTTGTTCTAACAATCTCCCTATTTTTTATGATGACAAAACTATGTATTTTAATGACACAATTTTGTTCATATAATCAGAAAAAGTGAAAAGAAGAAGGTAAGAAATACTTATCCTTTTTATGAAAAATCCCCCTGAGTCAATGACTTGATGAAGCTTGAATATTCTTACTTTGAACCATTTGAATAAAAACTCCCTCTGGTTCCAATCGATCATATATTGAGATCTTGAGAGTCTTGACTCTAGATGCCAATGAAAATGAAATCAATTGAAATCTTGAAACTTTAATATCACTAAGACAGCTTCCAGATTCTCAATTCTTGGAGTCTGATTCTAGATTTCAATTCTTGGAGCCAAGTGTGAAGTCAATAGGTTAGACACAAGCCTTAGATAGTGCTTTCAGATCTTTGCCTTTAATCAGATTTCTCATTTCCTGAAAAAGAAAACAATTCTAACAGAAACAGAACTTTAACTGGGTTAGAATGTAAGCAGCTCTTTTCAGAGAACATTTTCCAGAATTTTATTATTGAAATCAAAATTATGCTCATTTAATTACTCCTTTTTTTTTCATAATAAAAAAGGTAATTATGTGTGAAAAACATAAAAGCCAGAAGAAGATAACAAGTAAGAAAATAAGACTTCATTAATCTCAAAAGATTATAACAGAAGGAGAAACAACAGAATAAAGACAAAAAAGGAAAACTAGATAAACGTCAAACACATAACAACTCTTATCAAATAGAGCATAGCCTCTAATGAACGGGTTTCTTTAAACTATTTCAATTACACCAATAAACTCAAACAGTTCAGACAATACACGTCCATAAGGAACGAATGATTTATGGGAGTTTTTAGATGCAATGATTGATAACTTCATATGATTAAATATTATTTCTGAAATACGAATTGGAATACTCTTGCAAAGACAATAAAGAAGACATATATCCCTAGGAAAAACTTTATCAAGATCTTCCCCTATGGGATGAAGGTTTTTTCAATAAGAACTGAAACCAGATTTTTGCAAGCGGTTTCAAATGATCTGAATTAAGGGGCTCTTATCTAAAGGGAGAATTAGGAACTCTTGGAAACACATCAACATTCATGTAGGAGTTGGGTAATGGTGGACTCTGGATGACTACATCAATGGAGGAACGAGTAATGGTAATCGAAATGCCAAAGATATGAGAATGAATGAAGTTTCCATCAAGTCTGACAAAAACATGAAGCCAAAAATTCTTCACACAGTTAGGATAAGTAGGACCTCTAAGCATTGTTGGACACCCAGATCATCCTTGATTTTCAATAAAACTGTTGATGAAACCATCATCAGACACACAATTGGATATTTTCTCTTTGGTTACTTCGAGAATATTTCCATCTCCTTGAAATGTTCTAATAGCCATGGTATCCAGAAAAGCTTAAAGAAAAGAAACGATTAAAGATGATACAAGGATAAGGACTTGATGAAGGATTATAGATGAGAGGAGATATAAATATTCAGTCAAGTCGTTCAAGACATGAGACGATTGAATCACTCAAAAGAATTAATTTCGAGAAAGAGAGAGAGAGAGAGAGAGAGAGAGAGAGAGAGAGAGAGAGAGAGAGAGAGAGAGAGAGAGAGAGAGAGAGAGAGAGAGAGAGAGAGAGAGAGGAGAGAGAGAGAGAGAGAGAGAGAGAGAGAGAGAGAGAGAGAGAGAGAGAGAATCAAATGACGTCACAGACTGCTAAAAGTAGAGAATGAAAATAGAAGTAGATCAAAATTTAATATAGAAGAACACGAGAGCACTTAATTAGAGCCTGACAGGGAAGATATTAGAAGTAATATCAGACAAAACATAGGAATACAACACGAAAATATTGTTCCCAAGACACAAAAGATAGGAGTAGTTAATAAATGTAATCATGATTAGTAAATTCCAAGAAAAATAATTGCTCGTGCATTACCTATATAGAGTATGATAGACACGGAGTCTATTTAGGTGATGTGTTTGATATTCTTAGCATCTGGAAAAACCACAAAGATTTCCATCTGATCAGAGACATTTCTGACAGAGACATCTTCTAATGACTGAGGTAAAAGAAATTAAAAGGCCTTTGATTGAGTCAAAATCTTATCACTTCAGACTAAGAATAAAACACGTTTGATTCTAATGACATCTTACTCTGGATAGAGATCCATTTTCAGATTCTTTAGAATAAACAGAAATATATCTTCAGTTAAGGGTTTTGTAAAAATATCAGCCCACTGATGGTCTGTATCTATGAATTTTAAAGATAGGATCCCTTTCTGAACATAGTCTCTAATAAAATTATGTTTGATTTATATGTGTTTATCCATAGAGTGCAAGATAGGATTCTTACTCAAGCAAATAGCAGCAGTATTGTCACGGAAGATAGGAATGTTACTCTCATAAACCTGATAATCTTCCAGTTGATTCTTCATCTAGAGCATCTGAGTGCTGCTGAGATATACTCTGCTTCTGCAATTGATTGTTGATTGCCTTTTTATTGATCATGATATCATATTCTTGCCTAGAAATTGACAATTTCCATAAGTACTTTTCCTCTTTATTCTGTCTTCAGCATAGTTTGCATCACAGAAACCCAAAAAAGTGTACTTTGATGTTTTCTGATACATAAAGCCAAGGTTAGTGGTTCCTTTCAGAAACCTTAGAATTATCTTAACAACAGTTAAATGAGATTCACTGGGATCAGAATGGAATCTAGCACAAAGATGAACACTGAATAAAATATAGGGTCTAGATGCAGTCAGATATAAAAGAGAGTCTATCATACCACGATATAGCTTATGACAAACCTTTCCACTTACCTCTTCCTTCTCA